TTTTTTCTTTGTTTTTTTAACTTTCTCTATATTTTCACATTAGTCACTTGTAAGAGTAGGTTTTGAACCCACTGAGGAAAATGAGTTACCCGCACAGGTCGCTACTTATGTGACAAGGAATTTCGCTACCTTATGGATTCCATGATTATAAGTTCATAACCCTAGCGCCCATTCCTAAAGGAAAGAGCGATATGGTGGCTTTGGAAATCTTTCTATTACATTATCTTTGAATCTACATAGAATAGATTAGTAGATTGATGTTACATACAACCACAGAACGAGCAATGAGTCCCCAATGACAAACAAACAAGGGGCGGGGCATTTTCTAGAGTTGACACTCGTGCTTGCATTTTTTCTATTTATTCCAGACTTTCTGCCAATGTTCTTTCACTAAGAGAAGACACACTCCCATCTAGTATGGTGGCACATGTGGTGACTTTCTCGATCTCAAGATATTGTTCCGACTCAGTATCTTATGTGCGTGTTTGTGAGCATCTATGTTTATACTGTGTTCAGACAAAAATGATGGATGAACAACTTCATCGGGCAAAAGCGAGCCCCAAACACCTACGGATCGCACGCGGAGAGTGACCAGCCCCCCTCAAATGCCCGCGTCCATAGTCGTCTTCCCCGTAGCAAACCCTCAAATCCATACACTCAAAATTGACATGTCCTAAAAAATAGAGCTATGAAGAAAGTTCACCCACGGTTGCCCTTCCCTTGCCGTCTTTGTCACGGACGTACTGGTCGAAGACGGAATATAGATTGAGCCTGATCTGCTCATTGTCGGAGCTGTCTAGGCAGTCCGACGAGGGCATGGACTGCTCGAGATTTCTTCTTTGGAGGACACGCACCGTCCAGGGCTGACGCTTAGCAAGGATGATGGCATGCATTGCATCCTGGGTCGACACGTGTGGCTCGGCCTCCGCGACCGCCCTTACCTTCTCCGTCACACGAAGGGCATGTCAGTCCTTGGCACATCCATGGTTGTGGCCGTGCCATCTGGTGGCGTTGACCTCGAACTTGGAGCTCAACATCGCGGGGACAAGGCTTGGTCGTAGGGTTTGTGTCGCCGGCCCGGGGCCGTCCGGTTGGGCGTAGCGGCACATCCAGCCCATGCCCGCCACCCCCGACATCACCGTGGTAACACGCCTTGAGCCGCTGGCGCCGTCGGATCCAAGCACCACTTGTGCGGATGCAATGGATTCCTACCGGAGCGACTTTGATTGCGGAGCTGAGGTTTCCTCCTGGGACCGGAGGAGTTATCCAGACAAATAACTCCTCGTCCTCTCATGGGACGAGGTCCCAGTCGACGGAATCCAAAGTTGTCGGACTCGGATCTGCTACCTGCCATGCCAAAGAAGACCGAAGATCGCCAAAGAGGACTTGGGGACGGAGCAGTGCGGAGAGGAGCCTAAGTGGAGTGGCTAGGGTTTAATACAAGATACAGAAAGGGAAACATATTTGTAGGGTTAGGATGGGCCCGCATGGGCCAGATCCGACGTGACGAACGTAGTCGGGCGTCCCCATGCCCACCCCACATATGGGCTAGGTATGGGAAGTGTTGATTAACCTAGACGTCTGCGCGAACTATGCGGGATCCAATTGGGTGACAAATTACTATCTTGGCAGCAACGAGTCAAGCTCCAAGACTTTGAGGAAGGATATGGGATATTCGGTTCTAGATGCTCTTAGGATGCGTTTGGTTACCTGCATACCCCAAAACAAGCCGAGTGGGTGCAAAAGAACGTGTTTGGTAGCATACATGGGGGCCTGGCGCGCACGTGCATGAACCATAAAGCAGCCCACGGCCTATCTCGCTAGGAACGCTCTAATCGGCCGTTTCTAGCGAGCCAAGCTGAGTCGGGCACAAAAAGTCGAACGGTGTGCGTGGCGGTGCAGGGGGGACCCGGTGCGAAGATGGTGGGAGACCGTAATCTGCCGGTGTAGGATGGTGCAAAATCTAGGCTCATTCCCATTAACTCGTACGCCTCTTGCTCTAGGACAACCCCCTCCTCGGTTCTTAGCACTGGCGGCGGCAAAGACTCGGGTCTGCGCAAGCGGCAACGGCGGCAACACCAACATCACTCACTGATAGCAGGAGTTGCTCTCCCCTTCTTCAACGCCTCCGTCTCGTCCTCCTCGTCTCAGTCATGGGCCCCCGTACTCCTCATCGGTTCGGAAATCGGTAATCATACACCCCCTCCTCTGTTCATTCGAGGCACGGTGTTGGTTAGATTTCGCCGTTCCTTACCGATACATTGTTGTCTAGGAGGATCTAGACGAACAGATGAAGATGGTAATTCAGCCAGCAACACTCATGTCAATGATTCAGGTTTGGATGATGTCCGTTTACCAGATAACAATTCATCGTAGTGAAAAGTGTGTCATTAGGTATGGTCCATTCTTCATTCGAGACAGGGAGAGGATTGCCAATCTGAACTACATCTGCAACAACAATGATGTAGAGGCCGTGAACATGCTTCGAATGCGTTGATCACCATTTTCCATGCTTGTGAAGACCTCTAGGAACAGGTGGTTACTAGAAGATAGCATCCACACCTTTGTGGAAGAGCAAGTTACCATGTTCCTTCATCTCGCCGGTCATAATCAGACGTTCGGGGTTATTCACAACACATTCAAGAGATCCAATGGGACCATTTTCTCGGTATTTCGAGCAAGTGTTGTATGCCGCTGGGGAGCTCAAAGGAGAGATGATCAAGGCACCAACCGAGCAAACTCCGCACAAGATCTGCACAAGCCCAAGATGGTATCTGTATTTCAAGGTGAGCAGTGCTCGTATTTCGTGCCATAACATGCTTACAATGTTGTCATACAGCCATAAGAACACGTTTTCACGCCATCACATGATTGTATTGGCGCCATAAATGATACTCACATCACTGCTAGAGTGTTGAGGACACATGCAACAACATATAGGGGTAGAAAGCACCACACTAGCCAGAATGTGCCTACTGCCGTTGACTTCAATCTGAAGTTCACGTATGTGTTGGCTGGCTGGGAAGGATCAACCATGATGCTAACTTTCTTGCTGACAGCATGACAAGGCAAGATGGCATCAATAGTCCCGGTGGCGAGGTCTACCTAGGAGATGCTGACTATGGATCTCGCCCTGGTGTTCTTCAACCCTTCAGGAAAACCAGGTACCATCTAAACGCGTTCTTTTCTAGGAATGCACAAGAATTGTTCAATTTCAGACACTCCAACCTTAGAATCATGGTTGAGAGGACATTTGGAGCTCTCGAGAATCGATTTAGGATCCTAGATTAGAAGTCATTCCACCCTTACCTCACTCAAGTTAAGCTTGTTCTTGCTTGGTGCATTTTGCATAACTGGATCCTACAATGGGGTTTTGATGAGCTGGTGCCGGAGGAGGAAGATGTGACAGCCGATGATGATCACTCCGGTCATGGTGTGGAGGCACGTGACAATGAAGTTTGGAAGAGCAAAATGTTGGAATGGGCTGAGACAATATGGACAAATAGAGGAACTACAAAGATCTAAAGAACAACAGCAGCAACAGAGGAAGATGAAGATGAATAGGAGAACAAGAAGCAGTAGCAAAGGACCCCCCCCCC